TCAGTGATTCTTGAGAAATGGGACAAAATGGGTTTTAATTTTTCCCAATTTTCAAAAAATTATTGCTAAAGCTTAAAAATGCAAATATCACAAATAATGTTGTCATATTTGTGTTAAGGTGCAGGCTTCCAGTTGCAAAATTTATTTGAAAATTACTATTTTAATCAATCTGACCCAGAACTTTGTCATCACCATCTGACAAAAATAAATATACAATTATTTTTATTGACCCCATTAGTGATGTGTTTTGTTTTTTTTTACAGACAAATGCTTCTCAAGAAACTAAATAAATATGAATGAAAAAAGCAACATAAAGTCCATCTGACAGACACAGAACTGATAGTGGTGACAAACTAGTGAGTAAAAAGAAATACTTGATACATGTGAAGTAGTGATATTTATAAAATACATTAAAATGAATTAAGTGCACATTTAAGTGAGATTTGTCAACACTTTTACTGAAAGAGTCACAATGTCAGTTCAAAACTGACAGTTGACAAAATGCCAAACTACCTGAATTTCTATGATGTTATTCTGAAGGCGGCCATATTGCAGCTCATCAGGTCCATGAAACTGTTCAGTTCACTAAGATGAAACATTTATTCACAAAACGTCAAAGATTTGTGAACTGTCAGTTATGTTGTTGACACAATGTGGTTGTGATGAACAACTGAGGAATAAGACAGAAGAAAAACTAAATAACAGAAGCTAAGTAGAGCTGCTTAGCGCTGCTAGCCAAGGAAGAGGAAGGAGGAGGTCCTGGAGTCCTCTGGGGTTGTCAGGGGTCATCAGGAGTCATCAGGGGTCCTCAGGGGTCATCAGGGGTCCTCAGGGGTCATCAGGAGTCATCAGGGGTCATCAGGAGTCATCAGGGGTCATCAGGGGTCCTCTGGGGTCATCAGGGGTCATCAGGCCTTGTCAGGTGTCCTCTGGGCTCCTCAGGGGTCATCAGGGGTCATCAGGAGTCATCAGGGGTCATCAGGGGTCATCAGGAGTCATCAGGGGTTATCAGGAGTCATCAGGGGTCATCAGGGGTCATCAGGGGTCATCAGGGGTCATCAGGAGTCATCAGGGGTCATCAGGGGTCATCAGGGGTCATCAGGAGTCATCAGGGGTCATCAGGAGTCATCAGGGGTCATCAGGGGTCATCAGGAGTCATCAGGGGTCATCAGGAGTCATCAGGGGTCATCAGGGGTCATCAGGAGTCATCAGGGGTCATCAGGAGTCATCAGGGGTCATCAGGGGTCATCAGGAGTCATCAGGGGTTGTCAGGGGTCATCAGGAGTCATCAGGGGTCATCAGGGGTCATCAGGGATCATCAGGGGTCATCAGGAGTCATCAGGGGTCCCCTGGGGTCATCAGGGGTTGTCAGGAGTCATCAGGGGTCATCAGGGGTCATCAGGAGTCATCAGGGGTCATCAGGAGTCATCAGGGGTCCTCTGGGGTCATCAGGGGTTGTCAGGAGTCATCAGGGGTCATCAGGAGTCATCAGGGGTCATCAGGGGTCATCAGGGGTCCTGGTGCCCCAATAATGCCTGATTTTTGTTTTACATTCTTTTTATGTCTGATAGTGTTGACAAAAACTTGGGACAAACTTCAATGGAGTTGGAAAATATATAAAAATAATTTTTAATTCAATTTATTTGAATACTGATACTGAATTGTCATAATATATAATCTTAGTATTCCTTTATGGTTTAAACTGTTATAATGTATTGAGTTCTGCTCCAGGGATTTTACAGACATCATCCACCTACAACAATATTATAGATAATATTCAGCAAACACCAAGAAACCATCCATTGTTGAGCTCACGTGGCCCAGTTATTTACTCGCATATTTAAAAAAAAAAAGATATTTTGTGTAAATTCTATTCAAATTTTGTGCTTTATTCACATGAAATGTTTTGTCCCTCTTTTCAAGAATTACTGAATTAATAAATGTTCATTTATTGAAATGAATGTTTAATTATTTCATAAGTATTCATTAGAATTTAGTACTCTTCACACAAAATTGAGAAAAACATGAACAATGTATGGAGACCCAAAAGTGTCACAATCCAATTAAATATATTTCTACATCTTGTTTATAAAACATATAAAAACAAAAGAAGTAATAGGTGGAGTATGAATAATTTATTAAATGATATTTTATACAGGATTTAGCAAGACAGCACTGCAGCCCGTAACAGAAAACCATAATGTGCTGCAATGAGGGAAAAGGAAATTAGTTGTGTGACAGAATTCATATCATGTAATAAATTCAAAATGTACAATATTTTTTAAATTGGATTGTGACACTTCTTGGCTTCCGTACAATTGACTCCAGGAATCAGACTCATAAACCGATTCTTTTTTTCTCATCTATTTATTTTCAGTACTCAGCAGTAAGGGTTATAGTATATGGACAAGTTCTCTGTTAAGAAATGAATTATCAAAACATAGTTTATAAAAGTGTATAGTAAGCATTACATCATATATACGCATGAAAACAGAAAGGTCGAGCTTCAAACGGAGGATTACAGCTGCTCCACACTTTCTTCTTCTCTAATCTACTGAATGCAGGCAGGAAGTGTCGGAGGACAGACGGCGGATGGGGACATTTCTGTGTTCTAGATCACATGGACTCCTACAGCACTTGACGGTCACTGCACGGCTTTCACTTTATTTTTATTTTTTGACTAGCACCGGTGCTCCTCGACACGCTGACAGACACACACAGGCTTCCAACAGTTAAATAAGGGAAACGGAAAGAAACACCAATAAATACAGGAAGTGGGACCGACTCGGCCGGGAAGTCCGTCCGGAAGCAGGGAGTCGGCGTGACGTCACGGGGAGAAGAAGGCAGGATCCGGATGAGTCTGTCGGTTCGGAGCGGAGGGGTGCTTCACATCGACACGGCTCTAAAGTCACACAGCCTAAACACTAGCGCGGTCCGATACACGATTAATCATCAATAATCAATAATCAGCTTCATATAAATAAATGAGTTACTACAAGATCTGCTTCCTTCGGTCAAAGCCGCAGAGATACGACTTCAGTTCACACACACGGACTGCAGGTACTGGTGGTTTAGCCAGCAGGTGGCGCTGCAGGCTGAATCCACAGCCAGTTGGAGGAGAACCAGCTGATCGGGTCAGAAAAACTCAGGAGATAAAAAGTCCACAGTCCAATTCGGAACCAGAACCTGTTTCTGGTCTCATTTGAGAAAAACGCTGTGAACTACGGTGACTGAGTGGGCCCAGAGCAGCCACACTAGGTGCTGTTCTGGTTCTGCAAGCGTGAAGAGGAAACCCGGGTTCTGACCAGCGATGGGATTCCCGGCTCTTGTGAGGGAACCGAATCTTCAGGATCCGCTCAAAGAACCATTCAGATGATCCATTTTCAACAAGTCATTTTATCCCCGATATGCTTTTTATTTTCAAGTTAAAAAACTTTATCTAAATTTAGTTAAAATGTTTGTTCTTTCAGAAACATGTTTTAATAAAATATGAAGGTTAAACGTGCGTTGTGCGCATTAACGTTTTTCTGATACGTCTTAGAAACACAAACTGATGTCAGATCATGTGAGCCAGTTTTTAAAACCGTCGCCCTCTACTGGTGCAGAACAGGCATCACAACATTCACTGACGGAGAAGCTGTTGAGACTGATCCAGGACTGAACACCAAACTTCCTGTGCAGCGTCAGCAGCGGAGGTAAGAGTAGAGCAGTAGGAGAACTTGTTACGGTTCATACAGACAGTGTTGGACACAAACACACATCTGTGGTTTGATAAATGCAAACGAAATGAGTTTTACCGATCTCGTTGGCACAGAAATCATCCGCTCTGAGTCCGTGTGTGTGAACCAGATAACAGGAAGCGTCTCTCTTCTGCAGCACACATACGCGTCTTAAGTCTGAAAAAGTCCCATGAGTCTTTGCTGCCCGATGGTGGCGCGACGGTCCGACAGCCGAGCTCCACTCGTGCTACGTTTAAGAGTGAGAAGGCTTTAAAACACTGACAAAGGCCACCAGCGGAACCAGCAGCGACCCGACGACCCAACAGTCCGGGTCAGGCTCAGGCGCTGCAGCTGTGGGGGGCATCATGCAGGGAGCCGTGGTCAGCAGAAAGTCTGTGTGTGTTTATCTGTCCTCACACACACTGCCACCACACAACGAGGACGACGAAGGTTCAGCTACGGTTTGGCACCGCCGGCGCCGGACACCCGCTCAGAACTAAACGAAAGGTCCGCCGGGCATACCCAGGTAGTTGGGTCCTGCCATGGCCGATGGCGGCGGCGTGGTGCCGCTCCAGTGCACCTTCATGTGGTGCCGCAGGTTGGACTTGGAGGAGAAGCGCTTGTCACACTGCTGGCAGGAGAAGGGCTTCTCCTTGGTGTGGATCCGGCGGTGGCAGATGAGCTGTGTGGACACCCGGAACGACTTACCGCAGTCCGGGCACTGGTAGCGCTTGGGCTCGGTGTGAATGCGCCGGTGGTTCTTCAGGGACATGAGGTTGGGGAACTCCTTCTGGCAGGAGGAGCAGAAGAAGGTCCCGGTCTTGTGGCTGTTTTTGTGGTTGAGCAGCGAGCTAGCGTGGCGGTATGAGCGTCCACACTGGTTGCAGATGTGGGGCTTGGCCACCTCATCGTTGCCCTCGCGGCCGCGGCCTTTAGCCAAGCTGCCGGGGTCGAGTCCTTGCTCTTGCATGAGGGTGAGGTCGAGGCCCGACCCCCAGCCCAGCTCCTGGGAGCCGCCCGGCCGGTGCTGCTGGGGTCTGGGCTGGCGGGGTTGCGGCATCTGGCCATGGGTGATCTCCATGTGGAGCCTGAAGCTGGCCTGCGTGGGGAAGGCTCGCTGGCAGGACCGGCAGGTCAGCTCCCGCTGCTTCTGATGGACCCGCCGGTGGTTGTAGAGCTGCGAGGAGACGCGGAATGCCTTCCCGCAGTCATGGCAGCGGTGGCGGCGGGTCTCAGAGTGGATGCGGCGGTGGTTCTTGAGGGCGAGCAGGTTGTTGTAGGTCTTGAGGCACACGGCACAGTGGTAGATGCCGACAGTGTGGGTGTTCTTGTGGTTCAGCAGGGAGCTGGCGTGGCGGTAGGAGCGGCCACACTGATCACATCTGTGCAGAGACAAACGGTCAGAGCGGGGGAGGGGAGGGAAGAGACCGAGACAAATTAGTGACGGGAGGCAGACATGAAACATCACCTGATAAAGTTTACATACAGGTATATGATCTGAAATCCGGCTCACAGCTTTCTACAAACTGGTGCACCAGCTAACGTTTCTACACAGATCACTGGGGGGGCTGCTGTGTGGACGGGTGAGGGACGGGGACATGGACACATAAGCAGGAGGAAAGTGGGAAGTATCTGCTGCTTCCTGCACTGCACACAGCCTCGGTACGTAAAGGGATGCACTGAGCGAGTCTGCTGCTGCCCATTGGAAGAATCAGCCACAGCTACGCTAAATTCCCGGTTAGTAATGTCAATGTGTGGACGTGTGCAGTGCAGCTAGCTCCAAATACTCCCTGCTATTCCCAAACAAACACCAAAATGCAGCAGCTTCATTCTGCTCAGCAGCCATCAGATCAGACACAATCAGAGGAAAGCTTCAGTCAGAGAAGAAAACAGCATGTAAACAACATCTGAACATGACATGAATGATTGAAGGTAGCCTACAAACTACAATGTGTGATATGCTAACTGAAAGCAAACGGGGATGACTTATTGGTCTCTAATTCAATCTGTCCAAACTTCAGAAAAATCCGAATTCCGGCACGCGTATGGTCCCAAGGAAGCCGGATTGGAGATCATATACCTGTAATAGACACGTAGAGACCTAAATTTATCTGCACTACTTCTTTTTGTTCCAACTTCGAAGAATTACAAACAACTGACGAGAACTCACGTGTACCGACACTCTTCTCCCTCTCCTGGGGGTGCAGCGGCCTTCCTCCTGACCTCCATGCCTACCTGGTTGTCCCCACAGCGGTGCCGGGCCAGACCGGACCTCCCCTGGAAACTCTTCCCGCAGGTGGGGCAGCCGAACGGCGTGGCGCCCTCCTCATGCACCTTCTGGTGGTTACGCAGGAACCTTGCCAACCGGAAAGCTTCCCACACGTGTGGCAGATGTGTTTCTTGCGCTGCGTATGGATGCGCATATGGTTGCGCAAGGCCATATAATTGGTGTAGGGCTTGTCGCAGAAGTTGCAGCGGAAGTTTCCGGTCTTGTGAGTGTGCTTGTGGTTGAGCAAGGAACTAGCGTGCTTATAGGTGCAGCTGCAGAGGTCGCAGGCGTACGGCCGCTCGTCAGAATCCATGTCCACAGAGCTCCTCTCCAAGCTGATGTTGGCCGAGCTGCTGGTGGAGGAAGACGAAGGAAGGTGCTGAGCTGGGCAGTCGTGAGCAGACAGTTCATCAGCCGTGGCAAATCCTTCGCAACAGCCGTCGCACTCAAAGTCCATTTGGGCCCCAGGGCCCTGCGGGCCTTTGCACAAGCCAGCTGTAGTGTGAGTGGCAAGCTGCCGCTGAGTGCGAAAACCTTTGCCGCACTCCTGACAGTTGTGCTTCTTCTGGGCAAAGTGGAGGCGCAGGTGGTTCTTCATGGCCAACCGGTTGGGGTACGTGGAGTTGCAAACGTTGCAGTGGTACTCTCCAATTTTATGAAGGTTCTTGTGATTGGCCAGGCTGCCGGCGTGGCGGTACGTCTTTCCACATTCCTCACAGGCAAACGGTCTTCGCCCACTTTCGGCAGGGTCAAACTTCTGGGGCCTGGAGGTCCCGGCCGACGAGTAAGGCTTCTTAAAGCCTTGATGGCTGTACTTGACCCCCATGACTGGGCCCTTTGAGGACTCCGCTCTCATTGTCTGCATTTGAGATGGTCCAGGTTGCTGGAAGCGGGAACCGTTGGGACCGGTCCGGACAAGACCTTTGGCCCGGTGCTCCTCATGGAGACGAAGGTGGTTGATAAGCTGCTTTTGGATCTTGAAAGCTTTGCCACATTCCTCACACTTGTGCCTGGAGCAGGGACGACAGAACATGAAGGAGACACATAACAACCACAATGTTCCTACAAAGAGAAAATTCCGTACTACGTACAACTGTTAGCAGAGAGAAAGAAGTGAGATACTGCCTGTGGTGTTCCACAAGGATACTATCTTGGACCCATGTATTTATCTTAAAAAGTAGACTGGCTAAACCAACATGATCAAGTTCTTCAAGACAATAACATAAGCAGCATTACTTTCAACCAATTTCAATTGGATATTGTGATGCATTCGGTGAACTTTGAAGAGACAATAAACTAACAGAAGTCCTACCAGTTCATGGATGCTTGAGTCGATGAGGTTTTCTAAATCATCTGGCCCTTGCTTGTATTAAAAAGCATGAGCTTTTTAGAGAATAAGTTGATCATTTGTAAAGAATGTAACATTTCTTACGCTACAGAACAATACCTCAGACAGCTGACAGCCCAGCAGATTCAGTCCAAAGCTGACAGAAATGACCAAACAGCCCAGAGTTCTAATGGCCTCAGTTAGCAGGATAAAGGTTAACAGTATTGGCACTGAACCAGAATAACTGGAAGAGTTGAATGAGAAACTCTTTCTCTCTAAAAACAGGTGCAGAACTTAGATTGGCAAAGCTTCGTTGGATGAAGTACAACACTTCTGGAAGGTCCAAGCTGAAGCCGGGCCTAAACTGGATCCAGGCACATAATCCAAGGCATGCCAAGTATTTCAGCATAAACAGAGTTAATATTTTAGTATAACATAGCATAACACCATAAAGAATGTTCTGAAGCCACGGGTCAGAAGACAACCAGACAGAGTTACAGGCCCAACCAAAAACAACGGCCTCTCAACCCAGCAGAGGAAGAATCTGAAGCCTAAGTCTTTGGGATGTGAGGGAGTTCACGTTGCAGAGTTGAAACTGATAGGTTGGTATTGGTTCGACTTGCACAATATTGGTTACATTTTCAGCTGGTACGACGCTCTTACACACAACACTGAGTCAAACCAACCAACCAAGCCCTTTGAGCAAACTGACCCTTCGCTTTAGTTCAGGGCGCTGAACCAAGAACCACTGAAAGAAATGACACAAAACCCTCTGAAAAAGACACTGAGCACAACTTCCCTCTTTACCAAAGGTGAACAGAAATGGAGTGGCCTCAGATTTTACCAACATTTGCAAGCGGACCAAAGTTCACTTTTTTGGTCTCCATCATAGTTTAATCTGCCCAAATGAACTGGACTGGCTAGGCAGAAACACTGGAGTTGGATTAAAGTGGATTAACTCGGGCTGGTGGGAATACAGAATTAAATTGATTATGGAAGGCCACCACCACATGAGCCTGTGGCTTAATTTAACTCAACATAGGAAATCTCACTTAGGCTGGACGTGGATGGACTGATCACTCTCTCGCTTCTGTGATGGAGGTTCATGCTGTTGCTAGCTGACGCCTCTGGTGAGCCCAGACATTTAGTGAGTACTAAGCAATCCTGTGCAGATGAAGTCTGTCCTTTGAAACAAGTAGTGTTCAGTCACAATAGACTGAGCAACAACAGGACCATGATGACCTTAATGTCCAGGATTGCTCAAAGACTGAGCTTTCCATTCACCCAAAGTCATGGAGAAAAACCTGCATATCTACTCATCATGGAAATTGGCACTGCGATTATTGGTTGCCGGTGATTTCATGACCATCCTACCGATCAACTGATCAATGCTCTGGCATCCCTTACCTCCCCTTGCCCAGAATGTGCAGCCCCACTAGCCCAACCAAAGTACTGTTTGGAGTGCAGCCCACGTTTCTATGAACAAAATGTTTGTTCATCTCTTTGAAAAACAGCATGATGTCTTTGGAAACAGTGAATTGAGATTTTCAAACTAAAGACATGTTTATTTTTCAAATAAGTTGCAGGGTTTAGCTTTCACAGACGAGTTAACATGTTTTGAGATTTCTTGTGGAATTTCAGATGATGTAATACCACTATTTTATGATATTTAAAATTGAACTATAAGCGTACCTTTTGAGGTCGAAGTGGGTCCTTTGGTGGTTCTTTAGTGCCAGCAGGTTGTAGTAGCGTTTCTGGCACACCAGGCAGCGGAAAACGCCAGTTTTATGAGACTTCTTGTGATTGAGGAGCGAGCAGGGGTGTCTGTATCCTCGTCCACACTGGTCACATTTGTGTGGTTTGTCACTTTGATCAACCATTGGCCTGCGCCCATCGCCACTGGCTCCAGCTACACCTTCACCGCCAGACATCCCTTTGCCTCCATTTAGGCCAGACTTATTCATTCCTCTGTTCTTACCGGGGCACAAGTGAGTGACCAGGTGGTGTTGGTCGGCAAAAAACATGCCACAGTCCACACATATGTGGTTGCGTCCGTCCATCTTGTCACTGCCATTGGCTGAGCTGCTGGTGATACCCTGCTGCTGGCCGTCTGGCCTCTGGGGGCCGTGGATTAATTGGTGATTCAGGAGGTCCTGCTTCCTGGAGAAGCTCTGGCCACAGGTGGAGCAGATCATCCTCCAGTCCTGATCCAGATTGGATGGTCCTGCTCCTATCGGGTTATTGGCGTGGCTGCGAAGGTGGCTTCTGAGAGCTCTTAGGCTGGCATAGTGATTGCCACATACCGAGCACTGATACACCTCTCCATCGTCATCGTCTTCTTTGTCATTGCTGCCCATCCTCTTACCCCCACTCTGGGAGTAGGGTCTTTGGCTGCTGCCTTCTTTAATGCTGCTGGAGCTCCCGGACGGCATGGATGTCCCACCAGAGCTGTGGTAGTTCATGCTCCCCATGAAGCCATTAGACATGTTGCTTTGCTGCTGCTGTGGCGGCTGTTGCTGTCCACGGCGGGGACACATGTGTGACTTGATGCCTGAAACATCCCCGTACATCTCGCCGCAGTCTGCACACACGTGTCTGTCTGCCTGTCGGTGAGTAGAGCTGCTCTGGGAAAGCGAGCTGCCATCAAACCGATCATGGAACTCCAAGGAGTCCAATCCGCTGCTATGGCCGCCATCCGGCACAAAGTGGGAGGAATCACCAAGGTTTCCTGGCAGTGAGATTGGAGTGTTTGTGGTGTTGCCCTCCTGGACATAGCTCTGCTGGGAATCCAGCGTGAGCGGCTCAGGAGACAGCCAGTCGCTGCTGTCGTTGCCGATTGGCTGGTTGGAGGGGCGGCCCTTGTGGCTCCGCAGGTGGCTATGTAGTGCTGCCAGGTGGGGGTACTGCTTACAGCAGATGGTGCACTGGTAGTGGCCGGTCTGATGGCATCGCTTGTGATTAACCAGACTCCCTGCATGCCGATAGCTTTTGCCGCATTCTCCACACTTGAAGCGGCGCTCTTCGTCATCTGGAGAATTGGCCTGAGGCACCCGGCCTCCAGAGGGCGATGCCACCGAGCCCTGTGATCCAGAGCTGAGTGTGTCCGAGTTGAGTATGGAGCTGTCCTGACTGTGGGAGGGTGGATGAGGGTCATGGGTTAGATAGTGAACTTTTAAAGTCTCTAGGTCTGGGTGTCCAGCCCCACAGTATGCACATGTGTAAATGGGGTTGTTGACTGGGGGACCCATGATTGGGTCGTACGGGCCCCTTTTATCTGCAGGAAGCGGGGGTAAGGGCAGAGGGTCACCCAGTGCCGGGGTGTATGCCGGGGACCGCACGGCACTCAGGTTGTGAGGCATGATGCCGGGGAAGCTGCGCGGCAGTCCGAGTGAGGGCGAGGCCGTGTTGTGCAGCAGGATGTGCTCCTGGAAGTCCGCCTTGTTCGGCAGCGCTATCTGACACAAGTGGCAGAAACAGGAGGCAGACTCATCACTCTGAGAGGACTGCGAGCCGGCGCTGCGCTCCGAATCATGGAGGCTGCTGCCTGCGCCGCTGCTCACCATGGTCGCCCCTGGAGTCTTGAACTTTGAGTGAGTCCTCTCGTGGCTGTTTAGTGCAGCCAGATTGCTGAATTGTTTAAAACACACAGAGCACTTAAAAGTTCCTTGTTGGTGACACTTTTTGTGGTTCACCAGACTACCGTGATGCCGATACGTTCGGTCACACTGATCACACTTGAACGGTCTGTCCCAGGCGTCGTCAGATTCAGGGGAGCCTTTTTTCCCGTGGTCGTCTGTCTCGTGGCCAGGAAGGACACTGTGTCCAACAGCACTGTTGTTCAGATGGGAACGGCCAAACCCATCCGAGAGGTCCTGGGCGAGGCCGAAGCTCCTCTCGTCCTGGCCCGCCTCCTCAGGGGCCTCCTCGTTCTCCTCCTCTGCGTGTGCACTGCTTGGGGACAGAGTATGGATCCGAAGGTGGTTTTTCAGAGCTACCGCGTTCGGTAGCGTACGGGTACAGACTGGACACTGGAACGAACCCACTTCGTGAGACTTCTTATGGTTTGCTAGGCTGGCTGCGTGCTTGTAAATCCGTCCACACTGTTCACACTCAAAACGACCACTCTCTTCCTGCTGATAATGTGCTTTCATATGCTCTAGAAGACTTGGAGTACTCGGGCAGACCATATCACATTCTTTACAGGGGAATCCCTTGGCACGACTCATATCATGCATTGCCATAGTACTCTACCCCGGAGCAGTTGGAAGGAGTCACGGTTCACAACGTAGTAATGAACAGTGAAGGGTTGGGGGGGTAGGGGGGCTGGGGGAGGGGAGAAGACAAGGTTGCTTAGCTCTTTAGCTGAGAGGCCAGGCCATATTCCACCACCAGAGGACATCCAGCCAATCACGGCCCGCCTTGGGGTGGCGGGCCAGCAGGGAGCGATGGGCACACCAGCCAATGAGGAACCACTGTGGAGAGAAGAAGAATAGTTACTGATGGATTCACATGGCTTCCAATCCAAAGTTCCCAAAGTCAACAACTCTTGATTTCTACAATGAAGTCTTTAGTTTTGATGGGAAATGTTCACAAGTTAAATTATTGGGTAAGTCAAGAGTTAGTACTATGGTACAATGTGAACTACTTATGTTCACAATATCTAATGTTATTTATTGTGATTTATTGTCACTGTGCATAGTTTCCAGCTGCACAGTAAAAAAGCTGCTAGAAATGAATAATGCTTCGAGAACATCAAGGAAATTCACAAAGACTCATCGCTCCGCAGACAAGCACTGCATCAACGCCTGTTTCAGATCGCTAACGGCTACCGCCGTCAAACTGAGAACCTTTTACCCATCAGCCATCACTTCGCTCAGTGGTCGCCTGTTTTCAGTTAGCTTTTTATTCAGTCTTTTTTAATGAAACATTGTTTTTAACTGGAGAATTGCATCCAAGTTTCATTGTACAATGTTTGATGTTACAATGAATAAAGATTCTATTCATTCAGCAGGTTTATTTGTATAACTCAGTCACAGTTCTAACCTGTGTTAGCAGCCACGTTAGCTTTAGCAATTAGACTACAGACTCCACAGACGGACAGTTGTTTTACTATGAAATTTGATTTCAAACATAAAACTTGATTAATTATTCATAACATTTTCCACTTTAGGAACTGTTTCTCTAAGTGAAAACATCACTAGCCACAGCTTAATCTCTCTTAAGTGTCTCTGCTGGGTCAAAGCTGCAATTGTTGTTGGGAGTCACAAAGAATCCTTCTGAGGGCCGCAGATGGCCCCCGGGCCACACTTTGGACATCCTGTGGCAGCCAGACGGGACAATGTTGGCCCAGTTAAAATCAGAGTGGTCCGCTCTCTGAAGCAGCAGGAAGCAGCCGCTTCCAGTGTTGACCTGGCCTTGTTTGTTTTGGCTCATGTGACCCTCAGCGCTTCACCTGCCTGCAGGTTAACAGGATGCACAATAAAACAGCAAACAGCAGCAGATCCCGTTCAGAGCTGGACGTCCTCTCTGTCCCTCCAGATTATCGTTTTGTTTTCTTATTTATGGTTGATCCCACAGTAGGGCTGGACATTCATCCATCATCATAATACATTTCTTATCATCATCAGAATTTTGATTTATCATTGTCAATAAATTTCAATAAATGAAGTTTAAGACCCCCACAAACTGTCCTTATTATCAAGATTAATAGTTTGACTATTTTCTCCACTATTTAACGAAAGCATCAATACATATCAATATATTAGGAAATAAAGTTACTGTGTGCAGTTTAATGACATAAATCTCACTTATTTGTGTGACTGTTCTCCTAAAGATGCTCATTACAAATGTTTTTCCAAGAGCATTTTGAATTTCTGAAGCTATAATTGTTGTGCCATCCAGTCAGTCAGCTACCTAAAAAAACAAGTAATCAATTGTGTTTTCACTGCAAAACAAAACCTTTGTAAATACTAAGATATTTGTAGAAAACACCAAGATCATTTCTGATCCAAATATCTTCAATGCAACTTTTCAGCACGAAATACGAGTCAATAATTCCTCAATATTGATGAAATATTTCTAATTTCATCGGCAGGAAAAATGTTTTGTTATAAGTGAAATATTCTGCCAGCAAGAATAAAACTGTTTCGTCAATATAAAAAATGAAAGTTATTTTTAACTTATTTGCAACAGAAACAACACAAAAATATTTGGTAAGATTTTGTATCGTCACTTTTATTACCATCACAACAGAATCACAAGATATCAGGATAAAACTTTAAGTCCATATGAACAACTACAAGTCAGAACAAAAACTATTAGTTATTGTTTACAAGTTTAACCATCTTCAGACTTTGGTCCATATTTGGGCTCCTTGCTAATAATAAAGCAATAAAAACTGATAAGTGTAAACAGCTGGACGGATTTTCTGCAGCCGCTAAGAACCAATCAGAAAAGCTCATTTAGTCATATTTAAGCTGATATTATATATTGTTATACATTATTATTAAAAGCACATTTTTAAAATAGTCTGCAAGTATTAAACACACTTTTCATCAAAACACACTTCTGTTTTAAAAACTAGCTTTTTCAAAGTCAGTTTGATTCTAATTTTTAATAATTAATCATTTTATTTCTGTGATAATTAACAGAACCAAAATGATTCATTTGTGGAAAAAAATCTACTTAACATTTAACAGGAGAACTGGAAGATGTTTGAAAAATCCAAAATAAACACAAAAACATGATGAGTTGAGACCAAAACACCAGACTGAAGACTTTCATTACTCAGATTTGGTAAAAAAAGAAAAGCGATACATAATGAAATGGAAATTATTGAGCTAGTTTTTATTTATTGTTTGTTGCGTGGGGCCCAATACAAACCACTAGCAGCCCTGGTTCTGCCATAGTGGCTCTGGTCCAGTTCATGAGCCCAGAACCCGGTTTTCCGGGGAACCGTTCACACCTCAGCATGATGCTGCCGCAGCGGGTTCAGAGTTCAGGTGTGAAGCTGAGCGGCAGCCAATCACAACTTTCCCTTCAACTCATCATGTAAACAAACCTGCTGAGGCCTCAACCCGACCGGAACGGCCCGGCTGCGTTCACACACCCCCGGCCTGACCCGCCTTCACGGTCCCGCTGCTGCTCCGGTTCCCCTCCCGATTCCTGGCCCGAACAGAGCCGGACCGGACCCAGACAGGCCCACAGGCCGCCTGACCTTGGCCCGTCTCCTCCCGCCCCGCCTCGGCCTCGGCAGGAGTCCATCCGGACAAAGCGGGGCGATCCGACATTTGAGCCGCGGACATTCCTCTCCGAGCGGGGAGCCGCGCTCCGTCATCCCGCTCTGCTGCGGGGGACGGAGCGCGGCGGTGGTCCGGACATGATGCGGGGCGCCACCTGCAGCCCCGCATCAGCCCACTCCCACCGAGACCCGACAACATCTGAAATGGCTTTCAGCCGCGGCGGCGAGCCATTTCACCGCAGCTAGCGGGTTAGCTCGCGTTTTCATCACAAACACAGACCCTCTTTGGTCCAGCCGAGCTCCAAGCCCAGTCCACCGACCCAACATGGCGCAGAACCCCGGAAGAATTTCCTGCGGTCATTTAAGAGTCAAATAACGGATATTAAGAGCAGAGGAGGCGGAGGAGGGAGCTGATGCTCGGCCGAGCTAACGGTTAGCGCCTGGCTAGTGATTAGCATCTCCGCGATGAGAGAAAACAGAAAAGCGGAAGTTAGGGGCAACCAAACAGCAAGAGAAAAACGCACATCCAGCAGTCCCGCATAGCTGCGTGTCCGGCTTGGAGGCTGGTGTCGGAATTTCCTCCACATTTAGTGCCGGAAAGCTGGCTCCGCTGCAGCAGCTAGCCGCGGTTAGCAGCGCAGCTAGCTCCGAGCTACACAAAGATCCCGACAAACACACCGCGGCCCCCCTTTCATGGAAAACATCGGCTTTCCTCCGTTTTCCGTCACAAACTCACCCCTCGGTTGGCCTCTGCGCCCGCCAGCAGAAGGATGCTCGGCTTGGACCCAAAGATTGTTCACCTTTCACAGATTAGACATGCTTATTTTCTCCTCCTGCTCACCCTCCGACTTTTTCTGCTGTGTCCCCCCGCCGCCGCTTCAGCAGCACACTTCCTGCCGCTGCCGCGCGCGGCGAGTCGAGCGGCGCGGCGCATGATCCCAAACATGACAGCGTTCCGCGCTATCAAGGTCCAAACCGAACCGAACCCCGCTTCTAAAGAAAGCATCTTCAGATATTAGTCTGATAATTATGTAAATTCATCTGTGCGGTCAGGGCCGGCCTCGGTCTGAATGGGGCCTAGAGCTGAATTTGATGTGGGGCCCCTTTTCCAGTTAATGAACAGTTTCAACACATATTTGTTAAAAAGGTTTCCGTTTAATTGGCTGATCTTTAAACCAGTCTCAGATAATTAATTATTACTGAACAAACCAAACACAATCATAAAGAATTCAACTTCATGATATCAGACTATTATTCAGTTTGAGCATTTAGCAATGAAGATAATTCCTTTAAATCACTGTATAATAATTAACATTTTAATTTATGAATGTTGAAAGCGTCAACAAGTGTAATTATCTTCTCATTCTCAATAAACAAATGTGAAAACTGTACATCAATGGTTTATGCGAAAACACAAGCGTTAATTGGAAGCCCCTGATGTTTTAGGGGCCATAAACAGCAGCTTTGTTTGCTTGTGTTTTGGGCCGGCCCTCTGTGTGGTCAAACAGTAACACACCCAAACTAAGGGAAACATGTGAAGCTGAGGTTATAACAGTCAGTCACAATGAACACAACAAAAACCTGGAAGTTAACACAAATAAACACAAATGATGGGAAACATAAACAAAGAAAGGAGAAAACTGAAAAAAAAAACTCAGATTAATCTAAAAACAACAACAACAACAACAACAACAAACCCCCTGAGCTGCAGGCAGCAAACATTTCCAACCGTCACGATTAAATCTGCACTAAATCAGTACATTTCAGGTAGTTCTCAATTTCTAAAGTCCAAACTGATGAATTGACGCTTTGCATAAACACACACATCTACACACGCACAGACACACACACATCTACACACACATCTACACACAAATACACACACACATCTACACACGCACAGACACACGCACAGACACACACATCTACACACAAATACACACACACATCTACACACAAATACACACACATATCTACACACACATCTACACAAATACACACACACATCTACACACACATCTACACACATCTACACACGCACAGACACACACATCTACACACAAATACACACACACATCTACACACACATCTACACACATCTACACACGCACAGACACACACATCTACACACCCACATCTACACACAAATACACACACACATCTACACACAAATACACACACACATCTACACAAATACACACACATCTACACACAAATACACACACACATCTACACACAAATACACACACACATCTACACACACATCTACACAAATACACACACACATCTACACACACATCTACACAAATACACACACACATCTACACACACATCTACACACACACACACACACACACACACACACACACACATCTACACACACACACACACACACACATCTACACACACACAGAGAGACACACACACATCTACACACGCACACACACACACACATCTACACACACACAGAGAGACACACACACATCTACACACGCACACATCTACACACACATCTACACACACATCTACACACACACACACACACATCTACACAAATACACACACACATCTACACACGCACACATCTACACACATCTACACACGCACACATCTACACACACATCTACACACACATCTACACACACATCTACACAAATACACACACACATCTACACACGCACACATCTACACACACACAGAGACACACACACACACACACATCTACACACACACACACCTACACACACACACACAGAGACACACACACACACACATCTACACACACACACACACATCTACACACACACACACACACACATCTACACACACACAGAGAGACACACACACATCTACACACGCACACATCTACACACACATCTACACACATACACACACACATCTACACACACATCTACACAAATACACACACACATCTACACACGCACACATCTACACACACATCTACACACACACACACACACACACATCTACACACACACACACACACATCTACACACACACAGAGAGACACACACACATCTACACACGCACACACACACACACACATCTACACACACACAGAGAGACACACACACATCTACACACGCACACATCTACACACACATCTACACACACATCTACACACACACACACACACATCTACACACACACAGAGAGACACACACACATCTACACACGCACACATCTACACACACATCTACACACACATCTACACACACACACACACACACATCTACACACACACACACACACATCTACACACACATCTACACACACATCTACACAAATACACACACATCTACACACGCACACATCTACACACACATCTACACACACACACACACACACACACACACATCTACACACACACACACACACACACATCTACACACACACAGAGAGACACACACACATCTACACACACACACACACACACACACACACACATCTACACACACACAGAGAGACACACACACATCTACACACGCACACATCTACACACACATCTACACACATCTACACACACACACACACACACACACATCTACACACACACACACATCTACACACACACAGAGAGACACACACACATCTACACACGCACACATCTACACACATCTACACACACACACACACACACATCTACACACACACACACATCTACACACACACAGAGAGACACACACACATCTACACACACATCTACACACACATCTACACACACATCTACACACACATCTACACACAAATACACACACACATCTACACACACATCTACACACACATCTACACACACATCTACACACAAATACACACACACATCTACACACACATCTACACACGCACACATCTACACACACACATCTACACACACACAGAGACACACACACACACATCTACACACACACACACACACACACATCTACACACACACACACACACACACACATCTACACACACACAGAGAGACACACACACATCTACACACGCACACATCTACACACACATCTACACACACATCTACACACAAATACACACACACATCTACACACATCTACACAAATACACACACACACACACACACATCTACACACACACAGAGAGACACACACACATCTACACACGCACACATCTACACACACATCTACACACACATCTACACACACACACACACACACACACACTCTACACACACACACACACACACACACACACATCTACACACACACAGAGAGACACACACATCTACACACGCACACATCTACACACACATCTACACACACATCTACACACAAATACACACACACATCTACACACACATCTACACACAAATACACACACACATCTACACACGCACACACACACACACAGAGACACACACACACACACATCTACACACACACACACACCTACACACACACACACACACACACACACACACACACACACACACACACACACCACACACACACACACACACACAAAACAGAAAAATACCAGTTAGCTTCAAAGATATGCGGAGTTCTGGTTCCAATGTGGGCTTTGAGTTTCTGAGCTCCCACTGGCCGCTGCTGGACTACATGTCCCAGAATGCCGTATTGTGGCGCCGACGTCATATGCCAGCGTCCCGGCCGTGTGTTTCCCTCCTGTGGCTCCGTTTGGGTTTCTGCTGGTTCCTGGGCTCTTTGTTTTTCCTGCAGTTCTTCCAGAACCAGAGGATCCAGAGGCCAGGATGGGTCCCGTAGAGGTGAACGTTGTTTCAGCCAATATTCTCGTGTTTCCGTGGATCTGTGGGAAGTTCAGGGCCGGAAACGCCAAAAACCCGCTGCGCTGTTTCAGTTCATCATATTTTAGAAGCAGCATTGAAACATTTTACAATTGTTTCTTTAGCGAGCTGAGAAGATAAGAAGTTAATAGTAAAATTTTCTGTTAATTTCCTCCTTTTTCGGACGCATAAGTTTTATTCTTCACGAAAAAAAAGACTCTGTTTTAAATTAAGCAACATTAAGATTTGTTTCCTTATTAATTAAAAGTGCAGATATTAAATGAAACATTAGAAAGCTGATCAGATTCGGTTCGGTGTCGCGTTTAATTCGGGGTGACTGGATCAGTTTAGAGTTTGTTTTAAACAGGGAATAGTTTGAATTGTTGGGTCAGAGGTCACCACCTGCCGGGTCTTTGTTTCTGAGCATGCGCGCTTTAAGATGGGCCTTTAAATGCTGTTTTACTCCATCAGGTTCTTCAGAGCTGTTGTAGAGGATGACGACTCTGAGCAGGAAGAATCTCCTGTAGCAGTCTGTGTTACAGTGAATGTGCAGAAGCCTCTGACTGAACACATTGGTTCTGGTTTTGAGGAGGTTCAGGGTTGGCCAGAAAAACTTATCTCAGACTCAAAAATATGTTTGTTTTGAATCATTTTCTGAAAGTTTCCACCTAAGCATCATTTTGAGGTTACCGTGGTGATGTTTGACCCTTTCCAGCTGGCTTTAACTAACGTCTCGTTGCCATGGCATCGTCTCTGTCCTCAGCTCCTCCACATGTCGGTTTTTTCCCAAAGCTTTTCTCCCTGCGGCCGCTTCCTGGCGGCTGGGAACAACTACGGGGAGATCGCCCTTTTCAGGTGAGACAAAACAAACGCACCCACCTCTCTCACCTGTCCTCAGCGTGTGGCTCACACCTGTCGCCACGCTGTGCTTTCAGCCTGGCTGCGGCTCTCAGTCCAGACGCCACGACGGCCAATCAGAAGCCTGTTCTGACATTCACAGGTGAGACCTGCCAGCCTCAGCGGCGCGCTTGATTTATGAAAAATGAGTCAAATCTCAACTGTGAACTGACCTGAGTCAAGACAAACAGGGAAAATAACTTTTTAAAGTAGAAAGCCTGCAGATTATTGTTTCATGCAACAAAAATCTGTGATATTGGAGAGTTTTCACAGTGTTATTAAAGCAAGTCAACAGGTAAAAATCAACTTGGAAAATTTTTAAAAAATTGCATTTTCACCAATCTTTTAGTTTTTTTCACAGTTGAATAAAAAAAAAAAGAAGAAAAAAAAAAGAGTTTTTTAGCGTAAACTAGAGGTTTGGTTGTGGTCCGGTTCTGGTGAGTCTCTGACTCCTGCCTGTCCTCTGCAGCTCATGAAGGTCCCGTCTTCAGTCTGCTGTCCACAGACTCTGTCCTGCTGAGCGCAGGGAACGGCGAGGTCAGCGCCTGGAACTGGACCGAACTCATCAAGAAGGTACGGAAAGCCATCAGAGCCAAAAATCATCACAGATTCAACCCATCAGTTCAACATGTCAGTGATGTGAAAATGATGAAACTCCCACAAGAATGAAAGCAACAAAGCAGAACGCGGTGCGTTCAATGACCGTACGCGTTTCAGGTGGTTTAAAATCTGATTATGGCTGTTAGCAGTTTGACATGGAGGTTCATACATAGCAACTAGAAGGTCAAGGGTTAACTGATGATCTGTGTGTCTCCTCAGAACGTGAAGCCGCTGTGGACGAAGAGGCCGAACTACAAGTGAGGACGAGTCCTCTGCTTCCTGTCTGTCCTCTACTTCCTGTCTCATGTCTCTGTTGCCTTCAGGTCCAGTCTGGAGATTCCAGAGATCAACTCCATGGCCATCAACCCTCGAGTGAGAGCACACTCTGACCTCTGACCTCTGACTGGCTGTACCTTTTTGATGATGATGACGATGTGTTTCCAGGACGACAGCCTGGCGATCGGAGCGGGAGACAACAACGTCCACATCCTGGACCTGGAGCACGGCGCCTTTAAGGTGCGTCTTCTTCTTTTTCCTCTTCTGCAGCTGATGAGTAGTCATCTGACAGATCTCTGACCTCTGACCCCTTCAGGCGACCCTGCAGGGTCACACAGACTATGTGCACTGCGTGTGCGTACGTGAGCGGGAGGCGGAGCTCCTGTCTGGCAGCGAGGACGGCGCCGTGCGGATGTGGGGTGAGCTGCGGGCGGCGCCGCCGTGTGTCCGTTCTGATGATGATGATGATGATGATGATGGTGATGATGGTGTGTCGTTCAGACTGCAGGACGGGGCAGAGCGTCCACTGCATCGAGGTGCATAAGTACGAGGTGAGCTTTGACCTGCTGACCTTTAACCTCTCGTTTCAGAGCTGCTGACCTTTAACCTCTCGTTTCAGAGCTGCGCCAGGCCTCAGCACGGGAAGTGGATCAGCTGCCTGACCACGGACTCTGATTGGATGGTAAGAAGTCACGTGATGAAGCTGCAGATCCAGACGTGGTTTCATGTTACTGACCGGTTGCTATGGCGATGCAGCTGTGCGGCGGCGGCCCGTCTCTGTCCATGTGGCATCTGCGCTCGCTGTCGCCGACCTCGGTGTTCCCTCTGAGCGGCTGCCAGCGCCAGGCCGCGTTCCACCAGGACATGGTGAGGAGACGCACAGCGCCCCCGCAGGCCGGAGGCCGCGCTGCAGCCTCACTCAGAGTGTGTGTGTGTGTGTGTGTGTGTGTGTGTGTGTGTGTGTGCGTGTGTGTGTGTGTGTGCAGATACTCGCTGTGGGCGACGGTGCCTTTGTCTCCCACTGCCTTCTGGGAGGAGAGGTCAAAGGTCAGATCCCGTGTACGCCACCAAGCCTCAACACGCTGAAGCTGAACACAAAGAGCTCCGAGCACCGGGTGAGACCCTGAACGCACCGTGCAGGGGGCGGGGCTAAGAGCGGGGGCCTAGTAACAGGTGTGTTGCTGTTCCAGGTGCTGACGGTCGGCGGCGGCAGCAGCAAGATCGACGTCTTCACCAACCTGTCCTACAGAGCCTTCTCCCTCAGCTTCTGACCAGAACCAGAACCAGAACCAGAACAGGGTCGGATCGGATGAGGAGTAGAACCAGGACGGACTCTAAATAAAATCCAGTCTTTGTTACATTTCACTGATTGTAACTTTCATCACTTGCAGTCCGCTGTGACCCGTTAGCGCATCCAGAACCTCCCCTTGGTCCTTCTGGGCCGGAACCAGAACCAGAACACTGATCCATAAACAGAATTTGCTTCTTTAGGAGATTTTAGGCAAGAATATAAATTTGAATAAAAAATACATTTTTCTGAGTTCCGTATTTATGACACCATATTAGAACCAGACTAAGAAAAAAAAGGTGATCAGAATATAAAACCTGGGAAAAGTTGACACAATGTCTAAAATATGAAAAAGTTAGATATGATAAATGCGTTTGAACTTAATTTTAATGTCTAGTTTTTTACTGATAAATATCAATGAGAAACTCCACATTTAGTTTCTCAAAACTAATCAGTTTCAAATGAGGGAAACAAATGAACCCTTTCATAGAAATAGGATTAGCGCAGACTTGCCCTGACTGATACCTTTAAACAACCTGAGCTGCTTGGCCTCAGCTGAACATTTACAAGCTATATATTCATGTATTTTTGCTGATGTCATGTTTTTACATCCTGGCTCTTTAACAGGGGCATAAAAACTTCAGTAAGAGTCGAACCAGAGAAGTGACGCTGCCGTTCATAATGAAATGGATTTTATTTATAAAAACAGCGGATAAATCTTTATTTGTTGCCGGGTTTCAAACGTCTGAGAGAAAAACTAAAGTGTGACGCATTCAGGGCTGGTGGCTGATCGGTCGCCAGGTAACCAGGTGAGCAGCAATTCATTTAATCCGGTAAGGTTTGAACCGGACCTGAATGTAGTGAGATACTGTGGCGGCTGAGTGGGCGGGGCTTCAGGCAGTGGGCGGGGCTTCAGGCGGCGGACAGGCAGGCCTGCCGGACGCTCTGGGCCCAGGTGTTGAGCAGCTCCGTCACCGAGTGTTTGTCAGGAAGCTGCAGCAGTTTGGACGTCATGTTCCTGTGGACCGTCTGCAGGAAGCCGTTGGCGCCTGAGACACAGCAGAGACATTTAGACGCTTCAGAGGCGCCGCAGATTAAATCCCGGAGACATAGATTAAACCCGGCATCAGGATGCCGGAATCCTGTTTCCTCACCGTACTGGTCGCCGTCGTCGGCCCAGTGCGGACTCTGATCCGGGTAGTCTGCAGGAACGCTGAGCTGCAGCGGAGGAACGCTGGGCAGGTTTTTATCGTCTGAGGGACAAAAAGAGCAACAAGATGAGAAAACCAGATCTGGAGCTGATGTCTAAGAAAACTTAACGTTTCCAGCATTAATGATAGAAAATGATAAAATCTGATATCTTCCAGCATTTCAGGAAGCACTTCCTTATATGGACATTGCCTCGGAGTTACAGCTGGTCACGTTAAACCTAAAACCACATCCTCTAAACTTTGCTCCACTGAATTTTCCTCAGTGTCTGAGCCAAAGGAAGGAGAGAACATCTTCATGTTGACAGAACTAATGGATCGAATGTCTTGCTGCTAAAGCAGTCCGTTGATTTTTCAAAGCTCAGAGATCAGGCATGATAATACAAAATAAAATAACAGCTATTACAGGTTTATGCATCATATATCAGATGGGAAATCTCTCGAGATCAAACAATAGTTCAGAGTAAACAAACATGGCCGACGAGAAAAAAGCAGTGAAGATATCTTTGTTTTCTGATTGGCTAAACGTCACGTTCACTAGACTGCGTTCTCATTGGTGCTCTGGGACGACACGCACTGCGTCATCGGACCGAGACGATTCAACATGCCGAATATCATCGGTTATTGATCGCAGCTGATGTGAGTGAACCAGATCAGTCTGAACTCACAGCAGGAAGCTCGGTTCAGAGCTACCGCCATAACTGGAACGACTTTAGGTCGGAAATCGGAACAAAGATCTCGCAGGCTAATCGCGCTGACCTCTACGGTTCTGCAGTTCAGCTTAGTCCTTCGCTGAATCAAGCAGCTGCTGGTTATTGTCACACTGAGCATGGGGAGCTTTTAACGCCCCAGTAAACATGCCGGTTTGTGAGGTCTCTTCATCTTCGTCAGTTAAATGTCTACTTCCTGACCTCAGATTTGAGCTGCAGACATTTTTTAATAATTTAATTTCCATTTCTCCCACATGGATCTGATCAGCAGTAGTAAGTACTGGAGCTAAATCAGAGGATCATCAGCCAATCACAGCGTCTCACCCAGCTTGCAGATGAGGTGCACGGTGCCGTTGTTGCTGCAGAAGGCCGGGTCCAGGTTGACCAGGAACTTCACGTCGAGGCGCGCCACCTCCCCCTGCAGGATGTTGGGATAGTCTGACGCTCGTCTTCCTCGTGCTTCCTCTTCCTCCCGCTGACGTTGGGGCCCCTGGGGAACAGAAAACCGGGTCAGACAGGGTGGGGCGAAGCGGCGTGGAGCGGAGGGGCGGGGCCTACGTGATGGGCGGCTCGTGGATGGCGCTCATGGCGGGGGCGAAGGTCCGGTACAGGGAGTGGTTGAAGACCGGGGAGCGGATGTTGGCCATGACGGCGTCCAGCAGCGGCTGGCATAGATACTGCTGCTTGGTGGGAACCGGAGGGGGGGGCGGCGTCGGCTGAAACAGACGGGAATCCTGTCAGAACCGAGAAGCGCCATTAAGACAGAAACACTGACGGGAAAACTTTGCTTTATGGAACGCTGGAACTCAGGTTGTTTTATTTTAGGATTCTAAACAATATTCAGTGAAGTTAGAGTCAGAGTCTCTGGGAACAACTCGGTGTTTCTACAGGCCACTAGGTGGCGCTGTGGGGCCTCCGAAAGCCAAAGAGAGAATGAGAAAAGACATGCAAAACTAAAATAAATCTAATAACATTAACCTTTAATTCTTACATTTTTATCATAATTTTTGTTTTTCAATAATTTTTTCAAATATAAGTTGAAAAAATTTATTTAAATGTTATCTCTGATAATCTGCCAGTAAAAATCCTCTTTGATCCTTAAGTTTGTGTTATGGCAAGAAATGTAAGTTTTTTCCATATTTTCTAAGAAATTTAAGTTTCTTACAAAATATGGTTTCTACCAAAGGAAGAAACCATAAGAAGTGCCCAAATAAACTAAAATGCTATGTGATTAATAAAAATATTAAATACTTTACTACAGTCAAAAGAAGGGATTGTGTTGAAAAATCATAATATATTAAATGAAAATAGCATTTTCCCCCACAGGACTTCCTTATTTCGGCAGATCCTCATCATGTGGCCTTGACAAAAAAAAGATGCTAAAATACCTGCGGTAAAGTTAGCCGCCTCTTCAAAAAGACCGACGTTGCCACGGCACCCTGATTCACAAACTCCTTTCAGAGTAAAAGCTTATCCGGTTCATGTTTGATCTGCTGCAAGTCGAGTTCCAGCAGCTTCAAGTTTAGATTTTGTATTTATGCAGTTGCAAAAAGAAATAAAGTATCGGAAATAATCAGGGTCATTAAGCAAAGCTGAAAACTATCTGTTTCCAGAAGGACACCTCTGCAACCAAACCAGCAAATGTCAGCCACATAGGATGCTTAATTTCAAAATAAAAGCCTATTGAAATAAGACATTTTTATTCCCACCCCTAAGTTGCAGTGCCCACATGTGAAAATTGAATGTGGCCAGCTTTAAAGTCATTTTCGAAGAAACTCATTTATGAGCTTTACGCAGTAACAGCTGAATGGATGAAGTCACGGTTTGAGCTCCAGCGAGGCGGTGAAGGCTGAAGCAGGAAGTTGAGCTCTTCTTACCACGGCCATGTCGTTCTTCAGCTTCTCCAAAGCGATTTCGCATTTCTGCAGCGTCTTCAGAGGACACCTGCAGGTCAGACAGACAAAACCTGAGTCTCAGCTCCACTCCTTCACCTGGAAGCTGGTCCTGCCAACCCATATATATATATATATATATATATATATATATAGATATATATATATATATATATATATATATATATATATGGGCAGTTATGAACATAACTTAACATGAACACTTTTACCATCTTGCTTGCTGCTTTACTAAACAGAGAGGTGATATTTTTAAATGATATATTTTTATAAATAATGGCTGAATTCTTCCCTGGTTTGTCCTAATTAAATAGACCACAGTTTTTCTTCTTATCATATCTATTCATTGTTTTTCTTAATGAGAAAGAAATCTGTGGCATGGTATGAAATATTTTTCTTAGCATCAGTATTGAGTTTAAGTTTCAGCAGCGAGACAGCCCGAGTGCACTGATGTCAAAATGGCGGTTCTGGTGTCAAGTTCTGCAGGCGGTACCGGTACCTGATGGTTGGATCAGTCAGGATGTTCAGCAGACTCTTCATCTTGCTCAGGTCCTTCTTCCTGTCTAGCAGCACAACACAAACGTCAACTTCCTGTCTTCGTACAATTTTACTTATTTAATACTCATCACTAAATGTGGACCCAAACCAGACCTCCTCAGCTTCCCGGATCAGAACTTTACTTTTAAAATATTTAAAACATAGAAACATCAAATTATGACACTGATTTAAACATTTGTCTGCAGGAGATTTTTATATTTTCTTTTCTTAAGATTTGAAAAATGTTACAAATTTTAAGATTTTATTTGTTTTCAGATTAATTTTTTTTATATAAATGAGACTTGCATGTGATCCGTTTCCATGGAAACCAGGTTTTAATACATAAATTTAAAAAAATATAAAAAATTATAATTACAATAAAAAGATTTTGCAAAAGACAATAAATATTAAGATAAAAACAGAACAAGTAAATGAATCAAATATAAAAGGAATTTAAGATTAAATAATAATATTGCAATTTAATAAAAAACATTGCTTGATTTCTCTGTAGCCTTGCTGATGGTTTTTCTCTGAGGGGAACTAATCATCTGCAAAGAGAGGTCAAAGGTCAGCCACTCACCTTCGTTCTTGTCGATCTTGTTGATCATCCGGCGTAGCGGCTCGATGTATTTTGACAGCTGCTTGAGCTTCTCCATGTACTGCTGCTCCTCCAGAGACGTGGCTCCAGCCGGACTCATGCCTGACCCGGGGTTACCTGGTGGGGAGGGGGAGGAGCCAGCTGGAGTCACATGACACAGAACCGACTGACAGTTCTGGTTTTACTTTCACTAAAACATGCAACGGTTCTGTGTTTATATGGGCCTCAAGTTCTGCTCTGTGGATTGGAGGTTGTTGGCCTCAGTGGCGCCTCCTACAGGTTTATCACACCCCACTAACTGGTTCTGGACTGGTTGAGAACCGGTTCAGAACCAGTAGTTATGTGAACAAACACCAACTGAAAGGGTGAAAATGGATTAGGATGTTCAGTCAGAATGGATCCATATTTTTAACCTGTAGTACCAAGTAGGACCACAGGAGGCGCTGCAGACATGTCACTGTCAGTTTTATTCAGCTATACACAGAATGGAATCGTCAGCCATATTGTGAGAGGCAAGTTAATCTCAGAAAATAAAGCCACTCCACTTGAAACCTGGTTACAACTAACCTATTAAATTGATTTTTTACCATAAAGTATTTTTATTTGTGGATGTGAGAAATGAGGCTCACCTTACGAGCCTTTACTGTTCAACATATTTAAGGAAAGAAGATATAATTCTTTCATTTTTTACCATCTAATCTAATGGAGCAGAGGCTTGTGCTGACACAACATCAGCAATCTCTGGCTCCAGTCTGGAGGAAGAAAGCCACTCACAACATGGCTGCCATTGCTGTTTAATCCCAGCTCCTCTGGCGTTGCATTCCTGTGTGATTGTTACCTGGCGTGTTGAGGGGCCCAGGCGAGGCCACCCCATGGTTCTGCTGGGGGGTTCTGGCGGTGACCGGGCTTGGCGACGGCTGCGGGGAGGGGCTGGGCTGGAAGCCACCCGGAGACGGCGTGGGGCCGGAGCTGCAGGCAGGAAGCCGGAAGTGATTAACAGGCAGGGGTAGGGGTCGTGGCCTGTGGGCTGCCATCTGACCTGGCCGAGTTGGGCTGGGAGGAGGCGGGCTGCGGGGATGGCTGGGGGGGGCAGCATCTGTGGGGTGGGCACCTGCACAGGTGAGGGTGATGACATCATGGAATGCTGCTGCACCTGAGGAGACGGAGAAGGACAGCTCAGCCTGCGCTGCTGTTACCTGGATGACTCAGAGCAGGAGAACACACCTGTGGGGTCATCATCTGACCTCCGACCCCGGCCGTGCTGTTTGGAGGAGGGATGGCGGTGTTCAGAGGAGCCCGAGGGGCGCGGGGCAGATTCTGCATCGGGGGCCGGACCATCTGCGGCAGTTAGCTTAACGTTAGCATGACGCTACGCTATCATAGCAATAAACTTTTGTAACAATAAAAGGCACAATATTTATTTCTCGTTCTTTAAGTAACAATGTGACTTTATGTCACAGCAATTACAGCCCCACTAACAAAAACATTCCCACAAAAACGCTCTTCTTCTGGACTCCAGTCACTTGAAGCGGTGCATGATTTGTGTCACTGAGCTGTAACTGTATTTTTTTATTTACTGTTGATTTCACTGAACAAACAAGAAAAAAAATTTAAACTTTCAACTTGTTTGTTATTTATCATGACAACATAGAATCAAAATTCTTATTTAACATGATAAAAGGCCACCCCTATCGTTAGCATGACGTTAGCATGGGGAGGCCAGCCTCAAGGTGTCTCACCTGTCCAGGAGTGGCAGCAGCGGCTGCAGCGGCGTTGAGCTGCGCCTGAGCTGCAGCCTGCTGGGCCTGCTGCAGCGGCAGCGTGGCGCGAGCCTGCTGCAGACAGAGCAGAGCATGCGAAGGTTAGGGTGGGGAGTTGGACCCCACCGCTTCCAAAGCTAACTAACTTAGCATCAACATTTGAGCTGCTTTCATTTTAAAGATGTTGTTAAACTTCTGATGACTTTTAGTCAACTGTTTTACTAATATCTCTAAAATGAATGCCAAAATCAAATGCTAATTTAGTTAGATGTAGAGGTGGTGGGGTGGGTCCAGCTTCAGCTCAGCTGGGCTGTGTTGCGCCAGTCCAGACCCACCTGGAAGGCTTGCATCTTGAGCTGCTGCTGCTGCTGTTGGCTCAGCGAGCTGATGGGGATGGACTGCGCCGGCATCTGACCCGGCAGAGACTGGGGGACGAGTCCGGGCTGGGAGTGAGGAGGCATCTGACCCGTCTGGACCTGCACCTGCTGCTGCTGCTGTTGCTGCTGTTGCTGCTGCTGCTGCTGCTGCTGCTGCACCATCTGCTGGATGGATTGAGCCTGCGCCTGGTGCTGCTGCTGCATCTGCAGTTGCTGCTGCAGCTGTTGCTGCAGCTGCATCCGCGTCTGATGCATCTGCAGAGACAGAAAATGAGAGCTTCAAGACAGGAAGCAGCTGCTGACAAACATCACGGGAACCGTCAGCAGCAGAAACTGAGTGTCAAGAACCAGTGTCCACCAGGCCGGAGTCGGACTGAAGCGGACCAGAGTTGGACTGAACAGAACTGGTGTGCATGCAGCCAGCACTTTGTGCTACATGGTGGCGCCCAAGTGTTTGACGACTTGGCAAACACTCAAATAAAGTCAATGATTTGAATTTCTTTCTTAGACAGGAACCCAGTTCCTCCATTATAGCAGCATTCCAGTTGCTAATGCAACTGGAATGCTGCTCCGTTGAGCTCTGAGGTAAATGGAATGTGACCTGAACATCTGCAGATCTCTGAGTGCATCTGGACTCAGTTCTGCTGCTAGTTCTGCTGGGTCAGTTTGTGGACAGACCTGGTTCTGCTGCTGCTGTTGCTGCAGCTGCTGGTTCTGGGCGTGCTGCAGAGCGCGGAGCTGTTGCTGCTGCTGGAACTGCTGCTGCTGCTGCTGCAGCGCGGCATTCTGCTGCGCCTGCTGTTGCTGCACCTGCTGGAACTGCTGGAACTGCATGGACTGCTGCTGCTGCTGTTGCTGCTGCTGCTGCTGCTGCACCATCTGCTGCACCGACATCTGGCCCTGGGCACCCACTGCAGAGACACAGGGAGGGCAGGAATGACCCGGTTCTGGAGCCGGAGCCAGCCTGGAGTCGGCTCAACATGCCGACGGAGGAAGAGAGAGAGCGGCACACTCGGCGCAGCAGCAGGAAACACACTCACTGGCTTGTGGGTTTCCCGGCACCCCGGCCATGGCATGCTGGCCTAGCTGCATCTGCCCCATGGCCCCCATACCCCCCACCGCGGTGCCTGGGGGCCGGGGCCCCATGCCCATGCCCCCGCCTACCCCCGTCAGGTTAGTCAGGGCATTCATGGGATCTAGCAGAGGGCAAACAACAGACAACATTACGCAGCTCCGACATGCTCAGCAGAAACCCCACGAACCCGGTAGAGTCGGGCCCGGCCGGAGCCGAACCCCACCAAGAACCCAGCAGGGAGCAGAGCTCCACTCACCGGCTCCTCCCAACGCCTTCTTATCTGCAACACAAAGCCCAGCGGCGGTTAGCCTCAACCAAACACAACAGGCAACCGGAGAGACAGGAAGCTGCAGAACTCACGGATGTCCCTGAAGTGGATGATGAGCCGGGCCACCAGGGACAGGTACTCCTCCTGAAACACACACACTGCTGTTAGCGTCAGCTGCTAACCCGTTTCCCATCAGCCACCTGAGCACAACTCACTCTGGTCTTGGCTTTGATGAAGACGTGGTTCTCCATGTCCGTCCCAGACTTGTGTGTCGTGTTTCCAGAGCCGGCCTTCCTCATGGCGTCTTCACTGAGGAAGACCAACAAAACACTCAGCAGAATAATCATCAAAATTCATTTTTACTGTCCAAAATATACAAAAATAATCTCAACAAAAGCCACAGAAATGACAGGAGCATTTCTCATTCATTATATTTCAAACATGCAACTTCTTCAGACGCTTTTACTTCTTTCACTTTTTTGTGCGTGTCAGTGAAATAGTGTCAGTGTTTTCAAGCTCAATTATCAGAATTTAACCCGGATTTATCAACTTCTCTAACTGGTCTGGCTGCCAGTCTATGACAGCAACTCCTCCTGTCTGAACACCACCAACAAAATGGTTAAAAAACATTTAATGTATCAACAGATTTTCTATCATTTTGGATAATGTACAGTGTTTTATGTCACCAACTGTGTGTGTAACGTGTTTCATGCTGAGCAGCGATCAGAAACCAGAGAACAGACTGGAGGTAAGGCAGGCAGTTCTCTGGCCTCATGGCAGGGGGCGCTCATGATCCCAGACACTGAGACTCCACACTGCAGAGGAAGAGACAGCAACGGCTAGCTAGCCAGGGAGCTAACCATGAAGGTGGCCATAGAGCTAGCCATGGAGCTAACCATACAGTGAAGTGCAGTGATATATTTACAGTTTCTTCCTCTTACTCCATCAATCACTTATTAAAAATCGCAAAATAAACATTAAGCCTAAAACCAAACTACTGCAAATGACTGAATGTTCTGCTCTTTGTGTGGGAAATATTTGAGTGTTTTTTTTTTGTGGCATTGTCAGTTGCTATGGCTGCGCTGATACAGAGTGAGGAAGAAGTGTTTTTCCCTTTTCTGTGTAGCACAGCATGAAATTAATAAATCAAACTTGGAAATTAATAAATTTCCAAGTTTGATTAATTTAAAGGAGTTATTCTACAGCGGTGGCGCAGCTATGGATGACAGGTCGAAGAATATTCTTTTTGCCATCCAGCTTCTCCATATGTTTGAAATTTCCTCATGCAAACAATAAGCTGGAAAGCCAAATGTACCACAGTTTTATAAATTCAAAAGTTAAGTTTTTTTATACATCTGACCATTGAATTAAAACTTAATATGGATGCATCAAAAATAATTAATTAAACCCAAATAAATAAACATTTTCCAAAAACTGAATAAATGTCAAACTTAAAAAACACAGAATATGTTGTTTATTTCTGCCTCCTACCTACAGAAAGCATAAAACACGAGGCTTAGAGCTAAGAAGCAGTCCCTTCTTGGCTCTAAGACTCGTGTTTTATTTACTGAGCTCCCCAGTCACTCCTACAGCACACCTCACTGCTGTCTCACTCTCATACCTGTCCTGGGCCAACATACCAGACTTCTCTGCCA